AAATATGCTGCAAAATGGAGCTTTGCACACAGGTTTATTTACTTAAGACAGCAGTGCTGTTGCCTGTAGGGCCAATTGACCTGGGCTGCTCTGGCTGTGCACTACTGACTCTTTGAACTTGTGTTGTTCAGACAGGGCCTGCTCCAGGGGCTGGTAAGGAAGTGAGGAGGGAGCTCTGGGGGAAATTGGCCTTTACCCGTGGGGACCGAGTCTCCAGCCCGAGGTCCATGACACTACACAGCCACAAACTTGTTTTTGAAACACACACCAAACCTCTGGATTAAGACAGGAGGTGATGTCTGGCCAGAACAGCACACCAGGTGAATGAATGAAAGAATGCACCTTTATAACAAGCTTTAAGGGTGAATACGTGATCGTATGAACACTTCTCACAGTCACAACACAGTTACAGAAAACACAGACCAAAAACGTACAAGCTGTAGAAGGTAGAGTACCTGGACTATGTGCATGATCTCAAAATTCAGCACTGTATTTAACCTCCATGATATTTGTTGCATGCTGTCAATTAGAACAAACTCACCTGTCAGCTTATAAACCAACAGATTTAGGGAATAATACACTTTCAGTGGAAGTCTATAGGTAAAGGCGTCACACTAGAATAAACAATACAGAGTTTTGTCATTTTGAGCTCTTGTATATTCAGATTTGCTAAAGATTGCATTTAACAGTGCTATTACATTATTAAGCTTAGAAGGGTTAGATGGCAGCAAAGGAAATATAAATGTGAAATATGGACAATGAGCATGCACAATTAAACATCCAATATCTGCAAATATATATCCAATATATAAAAATAAAAATCGTTAATATTAGCTGAAACAGTAATAACCATTAACATAGTTAATTAAGTATACTAAATCAATTAACCACAATTAATTAATCCAGAAGTTATAATCTATATTCCAAAACTGTACATTTTTCAATGAAAAAAAAATTCAGGAAAAATAAAAATATTTTCAGTGTATATCATTATTTAAATCTTATTTTTAGCATTTTAATTGCAATTAGATATAGATTACTTAATTATCTTACAAATAATTTATTGATCTGAATACTTTTAAATCATCCTGCAGCTGAGAAAAACTGGCCAATAACACTAGGACAACGTTACATCTCAAATTATTGTCTGCGGTCATTGATAGAATGCATTGAGTTGTATTGAACCTAGAATATTCTTAAATCAAAATTATATGAAGTACACAAAAAGCAAACTGAAGCCAAGTTTAAATTAAATCTTTTTAATTCGATAACACGTTTTGAGTGAACAAAATTTATTAACATTTCTACACAATACGTTAGGATTACAGCACATCCACTGGCACCACTGTCTCTCGTCTGGTCAGAAGCACGGAGATGGTGAACATGATATAAATATTTTTTTTACCAGTTCCAGAAGAACATACGGCTGCCGTGCTTGGATGGCTGTAGCTCAGCCTCAATTGGAGTATTGGGCTCAGGTCTTGGTCTTGAAAGGTAGGGGTTTTCAGGCAGAGGCCGAGAGGTTGCCACCTTGGTCACCTGTGGGAGAGGTCAAAAGTTTAAAGTACAGGATATGGACCAGGAGACCAAAAAGACATCGAAACCACTTCTAATATAAATTGGCTAATTTTAAAATAACAAAGCAATGGATATATTGACCCACTTTGGACAGGTCTCCTAGCTCTGGCCTCTCCCAGCCCAGCTTCTCCAGCACACAGTTATCAAACTCCTTCTGCTCTTTACGGCAGTGGCGCAGCTCAGCCAGGTTAGAGTAATCCAGACAGGTCCAGTACTCAGTGAAGGACTCTGCACAGTTCCCCTTTATCTGCCTGAGGGTCAAACAACATGTGATTACAAAAATGTAATTACATGATGCTAACAGTGGGGTTTACACTGTCCTAACCAGTCACAGCAAATCATTTTCTGTCCAGCCTGATACCAAAAAAAAAAAAAAAAAAAAAAGCGAAAATTATTTTTTGCAGTAAAGGTTGGAAACAAAAAAAAAAAAAAAAAAAAAGACAGCCAATCAGAAAAGAGTGGGTTCTTGTTGAATTTGTTGTAAAATATCCTGAATAATGATTCCTGAATAACTGCTTTTTGGAAATGTTTCAAGTTTAACCCTTAAATGTGTTGTGGTCATTTTGACCCGGAGAGGGCTTTCATTTACACGAAAATGCCAGCTAAAGGGATCATTCACCCAAAAATGAGAATTCTGTCATCATTTACTCACCCTTATGTTATTCCAAACCTGTATGAGTTTTTCTTCTGTTGAACACAAAAGAATATATTTTGAAGAATGTTTATAACCAAACAGTTGCTGGTACCCATTGAATTCCATAGAATTTTTCCCCCCATACAGTCTTCAAAATGTTTTGGGTGAACGATCCCTTTTAATGTTACCTCATTGGTCGAAAACTTACTGACTCTATTCACACAGAGTATAACAACTAATTTTAGTATTTTGGGAACTTCCCCTACCTTTTTACACTCTCCCCAGTGTTCATGTTCAAAAATAACCAGCCTACAAAAATTGCTAATAAATTTCTCATTATACTATTTTATTAAAATTGGATTACATTTGTTTTCTTTCAATTATAGGTTTTGCACAGGTTTTGTATTTCTTTTTGGAACTGATTGATCAAAGGCCTCATTGATCTGAGCTTATGCGCCTCAGTTTTTCAGTGAACATTGCCAAAATTATTCACAAACAATGCTTTTTTTCACTCAAAAACTGTGGGGCATAAGCGTAGATCAATGAGGCCTTTGATCAATCAGTTCCGAAAAGAAATACTGCTAATGTGCTAATTGAAAGAAGGATTGAATCCAAGATTTGGTGACAATATAGCAAAAATTATGAGATTTACAAGGAATTTTTAAAAGGCTGAGCATTTTTAACCTGTGAATACCAAAGTAGATTGAAAGATTTTCAGCATAGCACAAGGGTTAATATAAATGAAGAGCAGGACTTTGGTTTAGTGACTTTTAAGGAATGGATGGTGCTATTCGGCTCAACACCGCAGAACAGTTACTGGCAAAATGCAGCAATGCTCATCACTTCTTGTGTCGCACCTGCTTATTAGGCAGGTCAGTACAGTATTTGTTTTACTGCAAAAAAAGGTGTCTTACGTTTACTTAGATTCCGATTCAATTACATTGAATATGTTAACGTTGTTAGTAAAACATTTCATCCACATGATCAGATTTTGGTATTTTTAGAAGCGTATCTTTCTGTACACTTGCCCATTTATGACAGACAACAGTCAGACTGCAGATGCATGACAATGTGAAAATACAACACTACAGTAATTCACCCGTTTGCTTAGCTAGTGATGAGCAAAACACCTCGAAAAACAGCTAAGTGATGAAAACATGTAATAGTGACTCATCTGAACATTAGCAATGATTTTTTTATAACCCCTTATTTTTATGCAAATAATTAATTTCAAGCCACATCACAACAATTTGTTGTATGTTATTAGAATCACAAGTTTACTTCATTCCGATATACTGCAATACATCTCTGTATTAATGTTTTATTTAGCATCTCGAAAAGGATCAAAACAAGATAACAGAACGATAAATACTGAGAATTAAAATCCAAAGGAATTTCTAATTTGCTTAAAAAAATAGGTGTGTAATTTGCTTCACAAGTACAATGTGCTCATAATAAAAGAAAACTTATATTTATATAGATATATTAACATATCTGAAAGATTCTGAAGCAAAGTCAGGACAAACAGGTAAAAGTGTTGAGTACCTGAAGAAGTTGACTGCACATTCATTTACTTTGCTCCCTTCTTTCAGACACTTTCTGGGGTCTTTCTCCTCCCAGCGGCACAGCATGAACTCTTTGTTGGCCTTGTCACATTGAGAGCCATAGTGATGAGCAGCCGCCTTCAGTACGGCTGACGACACATTAACCTGCGCAGAAAACAGCAAAGTCCTGAGAACACATAATGCAGCACAAAATGATTCACATTTAAGAGAAAGCATTATTTTTCTCCAGCAAGAAATACATGCATGACATTAAAGAGATCTCGGCTATTAATGCTCAATGTCTGATGTGAAGTCTTATTGCATTAGATATTAATCTCCAAAATAATATGGATTGCATGGCATGCCTTTTTACCCAATAACCTATTGTGTCTATAATAAGCCTGCTATAGTAATTTTTACATTTACAGTAAAAATGCTGTCAATGTTAGTTTGATTTGTTACCTATACCTTTTTTATTTTACCCTTTCTCACTCACTCACTCACTCACTCACTCTCACACACACACACAGTAACATACCATAAAATATTAAACCAACCATTGACACTTAGCAAGCTGCTAAAAACAGCACCAATGTAAGTTAGTCAACAAATCAGTTTTCCAGTGCGTTCAAATCCACGCTTTCTTTCTGATCTTCACTAACCAGCAAACTTTGCAATACTAGCTGAACACATTTAAATGAACTTCACAGGTTAACGTTAGCAGTGCTACTCCTGCAGCTTCAGGCTAACACCTGGTTGTGTTTCCATTCTTTCAGACGTACCTCTTCGACGTTCAGTTCCTGCAACGTCGGAACATCAACCACACCGGGCATGGTGCGACTTTTAGTCCACCAGAACTAACCAAAACGAGTTTGACAGTTCACGCAGCAACACAACTCAAGGCCCTCGTCTGCAGCAGGACCATAGAGCAGGACGAAGCCGCACGGAGAAGGTCAGTTTACTGCGCATGCGCGAAGAAGTACGGGCGCCTTTCGGCGACGTCATGCATGTGGAAACTGAGACGCTGCTGTGGCGCCATCTTGGCTCCAAACGCAACGCAAAGTTATGGCACTATTTTTCTGCTGATACCCTTCAAAATATTTACCTAGTTCTAGTATTATTAAATATAACTTATTCTATCACGTTATTCATGCATGACAGTGAAATCTGTCCCAGAGGAGTGTTAACGTTAACAAATGTAGCTTCTTAGTTGGGTTTCCATGGAAACAGTATCACGCTGTTGCTCTGCTGTTGAACAACATGGAGTTTATGGAAAGCAGTTATGATGGAGATTACAATACTGGCAGGTAAATCAACTTAATTTGATGACATTTATGTGTCCTATCAATTGAATCGAGTATTATGTAATATTTTACGCGGTGTTTCCAGTTTTTAATTATGTCTTCATGAACAAAGCTAGATAGAGAGACAGAGAGGTCATCACAAAGACATTCATATATTACATATACATACATAAATTACATTCATAAAACAAAGTGAATAATAAATACATAACTTTAAATGTAATAAGTGCTAGACCAAATTAAGGGCACAAGGGTTCTTTCAGGCACCTGGTAAATTAAACATTTTATATGTATATACTTTAAATGTGTCAAATAATATAAAATGAATCGATTTCATATTATTTAATGAAATGTAAGGCTATGGCATGATGTTTTGGGGTTTCCTGAATATTGTAAATCTTTTTCATGACTGAGAAGTCAAGAGAGACATGTCATATTTTAAATATGCCTCATTACTTTTCAAGTAACAAAAACAATGATGTATAATATAATAATAATTTCCTTTTTGCAATATGTTCATATCAATTAGCAGGACTCTTGATATATTAAAGATACAGTGATTTTAAGAATAAGGAATAAGTGAATCAAACGGTCTAATTTCCTCTCATCACATGTTGTCTTTCAAAGGATGGAGGGGACGGGCGAATACACACTTCCCACTCACACCAGATATGTCGGAGAGATGAAGGATGGCATGTTCCATGGAAAAGGAGTGCTGCATTTCCCCAATGGAAGCAAATATGAGGGAACTTGGGAGAAAGGAATATGCAAAGAGGTCTAATGTTATGTTAATAACGTATAGCTGTCGACAACAACATTTAATATTTAACAAAGTATAAAAAATATATTCTAACATATTTACAATAATAAAATAATAGATATACTGATTAAATTGAAGACAAAATGTACAACATTCTGGTTGAAAACATTTAATGGGTCATGTTTATACCTGTGGTTAGTCTGTTATTGAGTGCATTTGAACCGATGACACTTGATTTGATATTTTGTATTTAATGCAATTACATTTTTAAGTGTGTGTTAAGTGTCCAAATACTTGCACTAAATATTTTTGATACACATAGGGAAAGTACACATTTTCTGATGGCCTGGAGTATAAAGAGACGGACTGGGATTATTGTGATGGCAAAGACAGGCGGTTCTACTCTGAGAGGTGTAATGGCCTCAAACCAGCAGGTATGGTTGAAATTATTGTGTGTGATCATTCAAAGACAGGCGGTTCTACTCTTGAGAGGTGTAATGGCCTCAAACCAGCAGGTATGGTTGAAATTATTGTGTGTGATCATTTATAGCTAAGCAGCATGATTCTCTAAAAATATAAGAAAGAAAACAAGTCTCAGCATGTCTTTGAATAGGAGAATCCCAGTTAACTGATCGGGACCCCCTGCGGGCCATCCCTGATGGTTGCTATGACAGCGGCGATGGCTTTTATGATCCCAGCACTAGAGTCGTCAAAGACTATGATTGCAATTTTCTCAGGAACGCAGGTAAGAGAATGCGTCATGCAGTGCCAGAGCCAGTTTTAGTCTGCGAGTCTGTGTGTTAGCAAGTCATTCACAATTTCCTACACAATGTTCCATGAAATCTACAAAATCTCAATATACTTCTTAGTTCAATCCTTTTCTGATCTGAAGTACCTTTTAGCAAACATTTGCCTTTGGTCCTTCCACCTGGAACACATAAGACCACAAGCATTAGAGTGGCATAAATGGATTAGCTAAATGCATGTAGAGAGTGTAGGGCTAAAGACTGAGCAGTGAGATTGTAAGATAACTCATCTGTAGGTCTTTTCTCTCGGGCAGACATGCCTCTGTGCTGTAGACATTTGAATTGTTTTCAAGGAAAATGTAAAACACATTTTCCAGTGCCCGACGTGGGATCTCTGATTTGAGGTGAATTCATTATGTCAGCCTTATAGATAGGAGGCCAGAACCCCCTATCAGCACAAGACCAAGACATGTTATTAGAAGAGGTTGTGGAATTAATAATCCCTTCGTTACCTGAATTAATTTATTGAATGTATCTATGTTTGTATATGTTTTGAGAAAGCTACAAGCAACTTAAAATTTAATAAAGTATATTCCTTTAAAAAAAATATATATATATACAGTGGGTACGGAAAGTATTCAGACCCCCTTAAATTTTTCACTCTTTGTTATATTGCAGCCATTTGCTAAAATCATTTAAGTTAATTTTTTTTCAAAGAAATTAATACTTTTATTCAGCAAGGTTGTATTAAAGGGGTCATATGATGCGATTTAAATTTTTCCTTTCTCTTTGGAGTGTTACAAGCTCTTGGTGCATAAAGAAGATCTGTAAAGTTGCGACTAAAGTCCCAAATCCAAAGAGATATTCTTTATAAAAGTTACGAGTCAACCATGCCTACCTAAAACGGCTCGTTCTAACACGCCCCCACATACCTACATCACGAAGCTGCGCCGTTCTCAAGCCCGTCGCCGCTCACTCTAGCTGCCGGCTCTTTTGGAAGGACACGACTAGAAATCAGTGGTTAAAAAGTGACAGTGAATATGTTTATAATGTTACAAAAGATTTTTATTTCAAATATTGTTTTCATTAACTTTCTATAATTCAAAGAATTCTGAAAATGCTTCTTGAGCAGCATATTAGAATGATTTCTGAAGGATCTTGTCACAAGACTGGAGTATTAATGTTGACAATTCAGCTTCGCATCACAGAAATAAATTATATATTAAAACAATACAGTCATTTCAAGGTGTAGTGATATTTCACAATATTACAGATTTTCCTATATTTTTAATCAAATAATTTTTTTTTTCAAAAATGTTTTTCAAAAACATTAAAAACCTTACCAAACATTTGAACAGTAGAGTCTAGCATTTATTTTTGCAGTCTGAGTAGAGGTGCATGATATATTATTATTTGCTTATTGTGAAAATATAATTACCATCATTACCAAATAGTAGAATTACATTCTATAAATGTAACCTATAATGTGTTATGGTATATTTGCTTGTGTGGTTTCTGTAATGTGCACATAAAACATAACCAGTCAAATGTGTTAATGTGCATAAACCCAGAAAGATTAGCATGTCATGTTGCTCTGTGAAGCAACTAGTTTGCATTGGCTAGTTTTACTTAGATTCATCTGCAGTAATTATCAATATGCCATATTGCATATTAAGTATAAACATATGATTATATGTATTCCATCTGCATTTTTTTTTAATTACTGTCCTATGTATACATGTGTCAGACTCACATCTTTAGCTGCTGCGCTATTTTTTCCTGCACTCATATACAGGTATCTGTATTTGGAAGGTTGCTTGGGAATTATTTGGCAGTTTGCTGTATTTTCCAGTATTGTGATATGCATAATTTGGTAAACACTGTCTAAAGCAACTACATGCAACACGATCTGCAGCCCCAGCTTTCGTCACAGTCTGACTGTGAGCTTGCATGACTATTTCATACATCTACAGTTACTATAACATAGGAAGACAGACACATCCTGAACAGATGTCAGAAGAGTTATGTATCAAAATGCATACAGATTTTCTTCTGCGAAGCAGAGTAAATTGGAAGCTGTTTATTGATATTGTTAAGAAACAGGATCCGTGCGTGGTAAAGGAATAGTAGCAGCATGGTGACGCTAATAAAATGTGTCTTTCTTTCTTCCTTATATGTCGCCATCAGGCACAGATTTTTTTTTTACCTATAGAACTCTGCACAAAGCACTGTAGAATTAGAACACCCATCATTTACAAAGTGTTACAATCTCCAGCCATTTAGTGTTTGTGGCCAGTCTGTATCTATTAGCTTTGAGACCAACTATTAGTAAGAATATTGATATTACTTTTGAGCTTAGCTAGGGTCCTCTTTTTCCCGGACACGTCCTGGCCAGGATTTCTATATTGCCTTAAATATCCAGGTTTTGGCTTTGTTTTCCTGTTTTCATACTTGCTGAAGTTAATGATCGAAAAGTAGCTTGGCAAATTACATGTCAAATGCGCGTACATATTAGGTGTGTTCGAATTGAAGCAGCGCTGCGCTGCACAGACCAATCGGTACCACTGTAGCGATTCGAAAGCATAAGGAGTCATACTCTGTATAGCTTTCACAGTACTTTGATGTCAAACACCAATTGGTCTGTGCAGCGCAAAACAAAGCCAAAACCTGGATATTTTAGGCAGGGGCAGATTTAGTGATTTGGGGGCCCCAGGCAAAATATATGAATGGGGCCCTATGTATTTGCACACATTTACAAATTTAGCCTTGAGGTTCCTTTTTTGTTGTGGTGTTTGCTGCTGCATAATGGTGTCCCACAGTTGTGTCCAATGTTTCTACATTTTTCATGTACATGTTATAATGGCTTTCTTTCATGTTGTTAGACCACGAAAAAGCAATTTGATTTACAGTTTTCACAAAAACAAAATAAATTATAAAATGATAAACCTCACAATTGAGTCTTTAAACAATTTTTTTAAGAAAAGAGATGAGTCGGAAGTATAAATTATTATATTAATTTAAAACAGGGTTATGTGGGTGGATTTTCACATTGGTCTGAACAAAAACTGCAGACGTGATTATTGAAAATGCACATTGATTCTCTGCCAGCAGGAAGCGCTTTTGGAACATCAGAAATACAGCGGTTTCCCCGGTAACG